GGCACCCAGGTTCCCGGGGGGGGGTTTGCCTTTGTTTTTTTTCGAATGGTGGTCGAGTAATAGATTATGTTGGGGGGGGTCGAGAAGCCTCACTCCGCGCAAGGGGGATGATCGCCACCACGTTATGTTAAAATGGTTCAAGCATCCTCGAGCCAGCTACACAGTGCTTAACAACTGTCTCTGGAAGCGAAAGCACCAGAACATAAATTAAGTCATACGCAGCGTGTCATCCGTACGCAAGGAAGTAGGCACAAGATGCCGAACACCCTTAGCAGGATGCAGCGCACCCTTCATGCGACTCGCCGATTACCTCACGGCGCTTCGCGCTTGGTGATGTCAGAGCCTCGTCTGGCGAGAACCCGGCGTGTTCCGTCCCGGCTTTGCAGGGACGGGAGGTCAATGGTTTAAGGATTACGGCATGCACGGCTAAGAGTACCCCCCCCCCCCCCCCCTCGCATTCCTCCCGCGTTGTCCCGCTTCGCATTGATTCTCCAGCTTTTGCTTTTCCTTCTTACGACGGCCGTAAACAAAGCTTCCACCGTCCGTGTCCATTGTATATAAACACACCGCGCCTTTGCCTTCTCCCACCGACTGGACCGCTTAACCATGTACCGTACCGTGATACGCGCGGCGCGCACCAGGTGACCCGGTCCCACTTCCTGGGCGCCCTCCGCGGCCTGACGCCGTCGTCCCAGAGGGAGGGGATCAACCCGGCCCGTCCCCTCCCCCCGCATCTATCCGCCCTGCTCTCGGACTCTCTGGCCGTGATGTCGGAAACCTTGCAGGTGAGTGACTATTTGTCCACGTATGCATACCCCCGTGTGGTTTGTGTGGGTCTGTGTGCCCCGTAGCCTCCGGCCCAATCTTCTTGCGATTGACTGCTCTTGATTTCTTGTGTGGTCGTGTGGTCGGGATTTGTAGGTTCGACTTCGCTCTGATCAATCGAAAGTGTTGTATCAACGACGATGAACTCGTGAGTGGATGAGTTGGTGCTGTTGGCAGCATCACCCCCTTCGTCGTCGTCACGAATCGCGTCGCCCCCCCCGTCCCCCCGGCTCGCCTGCTGACTTTTCTAGTGTTGCAACCCGAGAAATACCGTGCTGAAAAAGCCGCTGCCAGTGCTGCAGCTGCCCCCACCACTGCCTGTTATGCTCACGGCTGCACTTTCGGCGTGTGTTCGTGGCACACTAAACTCGCGTATTCTTGCAACATATGGACACTTTTTAGTCAGACAAGGGTGTCGTGGTTTGCCCCTCACCCCCTCCCCCCCCCCCCCCCCCCCTCCCAAAAATCAAAAAAA